ATTGTTAAATCTAAACAAGAGCCCCAAGCTCTGATACTAATTGTTACCCAAAAGACAACCTAAGAGAGGGGGTGAATTAGGTTTTTACAATTAAAAATTAATAATACCCTAATAAAAATTATGACTAGCACAATAGATAAATATAATTAATGAAATAAAAATAATTAAAACAAGTGTTCTAACAACTATGTCAGTTAATGATTTTAGCACAGTGAAAATGTGAAATATAGCTACAGCAATTTAAATAAAATAAAGAGATAAGGGAGAGAGAAGCAAACAAATTTATAGTGGTTTGCCTTCAACTCGGCCTACGTCCACTCCTCAAGTTTCACTTGAGATTTTCCACTATGCTCTAAGTTCATGGGGGTGCTAGCAACCTCTTTACAAATGGAGCAATCCTCCACGAATTTTCCACAGACTTTCTAAGTCAAGAACACTGAGTGTACTACACTCTTACAAGATTGAAAAGAATGTGTTTTTACTTTCACAGAAAGCTACAAGAATTATCTCTCAAAGATAGATATATAAAATGAAGTTTTAATTTTTTTATAAATCTCACACAGGAAAGATAAGCTTAATGCTATAAGGTATAGTGTATAATTTCTGAGAGATGATGTAAACAAAAATTCAAGACCACTTCTCAGAGAATTTTTCAGAGAATAGATGTGAGTGATTATAGATCAAAGAATATTTTCTGTTTTTTTTTTTTTTTTTGTAACTTGTTTACATTAAAGGTTTTGGTATATATAATGAAACTTATAGCTGTTTATAGCCGTTGTATTCATTTGAATTTATAATCGTTTATAGCCGTTGTATTCATTTGAATTTATAGCCGTTGTACTCCATATTACTAATTTGAATATCTTCTACTCCATCATTACTAGTTTGAATATCTTTCACTTGAACCTTTTGAACCTTTTGAACTGCTGTTGTGCTGGGTTGTTTGAGCCTCTGTTTTGGGTTATTTGAACTCCTGATTTAATCAAATATTAAATACATTCTAACAACATTTAGGATAAAGGTTTAGGTGAGAAATAATGAGACAAAATAAATTTTGATTCTATTTTTCTCTTTCAAATAAATTAAAGCATAATTAAATAAATCATCAAAATAAATTTTGGATTTAAAACATAATTAAATAAATCATCAAAATAAATTTTAGATTCTATTTTTCTTTTTCAAATAAATTAAAATATAATCAAATAAATCATCAAAATAAATTCTGTATTCTATTTTTCTCTTTCAAATAATTTAAAATATAATTAAATAAATTATCAAAATAAATGAGTCTACCATGAATAATTCACACAAAATCTGTAACCTTTTAATGGCATCTGTTTTATGTCATAGATAGTACTTCGGAATTACTTTTCACATTTAAATCTGCAGTTTAATGTCTGTCTTTGTTAGGATTTTGACATTTAAAATTGGAGCTCTTTGGTAGTTGGCATCGTATCTCTTCTTTGCAGGTTGCACACGATGCCTTTGGAGGGGAACGGATCGTCGGTCGCCCTTCCCTGTCGCCTTTTCCTGTCGCCCCCAAAACGACGTCGTTTTGGGGGCGAATTTTCAAGGCGACAGGGAAGGGCGACCGACGATCCGTTCCCCTCCAAAGGCATCGTGTGCAACCTGCAAAGAAGAGATACGATGCCAACTACCAAAGAGCTCCAATTTTAAATGTCAAAATCCTAACAAAGACAGACATTAAACTGCAGATTTAAATGTGAAAAGTAATTCCGAAGTACTATCTATGACATAAAACAGATGCCATTAAAAGGTTACAGATTTTGTGTGAATTATTCATGGTAGACTCATTTATTTTGATAATTTGACGGCCGCATCTTCGACGTTTGGTGCTAAACGCCACAAAAATATTTAACGGCGTTTTTAGGACCTATTGCGGCGTTTTTTAAACGCCTCTAAAACCAGAATTTCCAGCAGTGCTTCCTCTGCGTTTTTTTTTTTTTTGAAAATTTGGCCCCAAAACGACGTCGTTTTGGGGGCGACAGGGGAAGGCGACAAGGGAAGGCGACGGGTGATCCAGATTCGCCTTTGGAGTCACGGACAACAAACTATTTCTACTGTCAGGTTTTGTGAACAAGTTTTTGGAGTTTGTCTCAAACAGAAATCACAATTTTTCATGATCCATTTGTTTCGGAAGAAAATGTTTTTTGGAAAATATTTTTCTCATTTTCTAGCATTTGATACAACATGAAAAATGAGTTGATTTAAGCACAAAAATAAATAAATAAATAAACAACGTTTTTGAAAAATGTTTCTGAACTAGAGTGGTAATGCTATCTAGCCTATCACCACACAACCACCACCTCCATCACTGCTGCCACCAGCACCACCTGGTTACCACTACTGCCACCCCACCACCGCAACAACCACACCAACACTACCACTACCACAAACCACTAGCACATCATTTTCGAGTTCGCAACCAACACAAGAAATTATTTTTCATGGAAACAAAAAGAGCAAAAAACATTGGTACCATCAACTTTGCACCATTTTTTTTCCATGATGAATATAATGAACCTTCCGTGTAACATAGTCAACAAATACCGAAGGATGTGCATGTAATTTGTCTACTTGGATGTTCAATTCTACCGGTTTTGTCTAAACAATTCACGAGGTGAAATCAATTAATGCTTGCAAGAAGTTTATAGCTTTAAAAGCGATATGCACACGGGGCATTACACCGTACATTATAGATTGAATATGCACATATAAGTAGAGTGATGTTCAAATTCTTTAAGATGGTGCTTAGCAGTTGTATAGTGCGGAAGAGAGTCGTGGGGTGAGGCGGGCCTCCACTGGAGTTGCTTTTGGAGCAGTCATCCCCGGACTTTCAGTCATATTAACCTCCAAGTCTGAGACCCTTCCCAATTCGAAGCCATGAAGTAGCCTAGCCAATGTTAAGTGCATGACCTGTAGTGCGAATGAGATCCCAGGGCATATCCTCCTGCCAGATCCAAATGGTATAAATTCAAAATGGTGACCCTTGACATCCAAATCTATCTGATCCACAAGGAACCTCTCGGGTTGAAAATCTAAGGGGTTGGACCAAATGTTTGGGTCACGGTGCAACTTCCAGAGGTTAACTAACAGGCGTGTGCCAGCGGGGATGTGGAAGCCAGCCACGGTGCAGTCTTCCATGGCTTCACGTGGCACTGACAATGGCAGCGTAGGGTATAGCCGCAATGTTTCCTTAACAATGGCTTGTAAGTATACAAGATTTTTTATATCAGATTCATCCACTTGGCGGTTCTTGCCCACGTGGATGTCCAACTCATCTTGGGCTTTCTTTAATACGTGACGGTTGTTCAGTAGTAAGGAGATCGCCCACGTCAGAGCGACTCCTGTCGTATCATTCCCACCTAAAATCATACTCTGCAAACAAACATCACATAAATTCTTGGTGATGATTTGGTTAGAATTCACATAATGTACTAGCAGTGTTCATGTAGTCATAAGAACTGAGCAAGGATCCTCTAAAGTGATTTTTCCCTAAAGTTTCCTAGAGTGCTACATTGTGTGGTTGAGATTTACTGGCAAGTCACATCAATTTTTCTGATGTGACTTGCCAGTAAATCTCAACCACACAATGTAGCACTCTAGGAAACTTTAGAGAAATTTCACTCTAGAGGATCCTTGGTGATAAGAACTAGTACCAGTAGTTGTTAAACTGATCATCCTCTTGTCACAACTTTTAATCAATGATGGACCTAGAGAGGGGCAAGATGGGGTGACACATGGGGATCGAACTATAAAGTTCAACAATTTGGAAAAAATATAAGAAAAAAAAAATAGTTTCTCGCAACTTGTGTCGATAGAATATTTTACAATTGCTATCTTTTGTAACTCAACACAAATATAAGATAACATGTTTGTTTATATATGTTTTTCATTTTATTTTTCAGGGTTTATGTTGGTAGAAATTGATGCTATAGTCTATATATATAAATATATTTCAAAATTTTTGTTAGTAGATATATGTTCGGCCCCATATATTAGAATCTGGTTCCTTCCTTGCTTGTAATCACCTACATATTGTGACTGAAACCGACACAATTTATAGAATTTTGCTGATAAACTTCATTCTCTGATAACTTTTCGGTTACTTTTTCTGGCTTTTAACTTTTTTCAAAACTGTTGGTGAGTTCATTCATGTTATTCAATCAACAGGGAATTCTAGGGGCATACCAAGCAAGTGGCCTTGATGACAGTATCGGTGTCATGGCCATGGGAAAGCTGACTCTCCTCCATGGCAGATATCAGGACATCGATGAAGTCTCGCTCCCCCTCATCGATGCTTCCAGCAACTCTCTTTTGCCGGTGTTCCTCCACCCAGCTTCCAAGCACATCATCCACCTCTCTTGCAGATCTCTTCATTTTGCCCCTATATCCGTTCAGCACATCAAACCAACCAAGAAATGGAATTGCATCAGAAATCAGAAGCAAGCCCATTAGATGCGTAAGATCTCCCAAAGCCTTCTGGAATCTCCTCAACTCCTCCTTGCTGCTTCTACTGTTGTCAGCATACCGGTAATTCCTATTAACAATTCTTAGCATTATTTTCATTACCAAGTCCTCAAACTTCTCCTTCATTTCCACCAACACCGGTTTCCTACTCCCTTTCCCCTACCCACTGCTCATATACCTCTTTCATGAAAAAATTGACTTCTGAGTCCCAGACATGCTTAAGAATCTCAAGTCTATGGCTTGATAGGAGCTCAATCATGGCTAGCTTGCGTAAATCGCGCCAGTATGGTCCATAAGGAGCGAAGCCTAGCACGGCGTGGTCATAGGCCATGAGCTTTAGAGCTAAAGATTTTGGTCGGGTTGAGAAGATTTTATCATTTGTGGTGAAACACTCTTTTGCAACTTCCCAGCTACTAACCACAAGAGCTTGCTTAATGCCTAGACGGATAGAGAAGGCCGGTCCATAGTTATCGGCCATGGCGCCCAACGTTCGATGCAGTAGCTTGTTTGCCCCGAGAAGACGGAGGTGACCGATGAGAGGCCACGCTCCGGCTGGCTCTGGAGGTGTTCTGTCTCTCTTCTTGTGGAGCTTGGATTTGGCCATAATCATATTGAGACAAACAACAATGAAAACAAGTCCAAGAACCGTGAGAGCTTGAAGCTGAAGGTAAGACTCCATGCTTCACAGTTCAACAAGCGATCATTCAAAACGTTATTCTTGCACTAGTGTTTTATATAATTTATTGATTGTACCACACCTGTTGTCAGTGTCTGGATGTTTATTTACCGGTTTGTGGACAAGTTCAAGAACCCGTTTGTGGCGACACAACAATAGCGGTAAAATTTTTCCAAACAACATGATAATATGAACCGTACACAAACTTAATGGATTAGGATTGACATAGCCTGGTACCACAAATATTAAGTTAATGTCGAACCTGTTATGAAGTTCATATGAATAGTCCGTTTAACAAAGAATTTGTTACCTATTTTACTGTTATTTCTACTAAGGATTGTCATAATAATTTTGAATCTCTTATGTAACTACATTTAACTATTTAAAAAAATGTGTGAAATAAGATTTTAAGGTTAATATTGATTTTTCTTTTGTTTTAAATTTAAGATGATGTATTTTTTTACTACTATTTTATAGGCAATCTAGTAAAAAAAAATATAATAATAGGATATAATTTTTGTTAATTACGAAAATAGAATTAAGTTAAAATAAATATTTTATGAATTTTTTCATTTGTTTGAGATTAGTTGCATGCAATTTAACTTGTAGAGAAAAAAAATAAATTTTTTGGTATTTTTTAACCAATGGTAAAACTTTATAATATGACAGGTGAAAATGACACAAATCGGATACCGACAAAAAATATTATGATACAATAACATTAAATCTTGTTTATATTGGGTTATATCGAGAATTCAGGATTAAAGTTGATGTTATGAGTTTTAAAAACAGAGTTGAGAGAAAGAGTCGGCTCATTTTGATTTCTATATTCATAGTGAAATTCTTTTGTCATTTGATGTTCATAGATGTAGATTATTATCAAATCACGTAAATCTTATATATTTATATTTAGAATTATGTTTCTCTTATATTCACATCTTAACATGATAGATTTTGTGTTCGTGGAGTCCATCACATGTTCTATTTCGATGATCTGAACTGTTCACCTTTTGAAATTTATTTAGTAGAATATTCATGCAAAAAATAAAAATGATCGGGTATTGGTAGCTATACATTTAATTCAATTTTGTATTACAAAAATATATAGTTATTTTTAAAATTATATTTGTCGACTATTTTTTTTTAAAAAAAATAAATATGATTCAATTATATAATTATCAATATTCAATTATCTTAATTTTTGTATGAATATTCTATTAAATGAGTCTAAAAAATTAAACGGTTTAAATAATCAAAATTATTTTTAAAATAACTTTATCAACCCCAACCGTTTCTTTCAAATTGAGATGATTTTATTTTATTTGTTTTTAGCAATCCTTGCCTTTTGGCATGACAAAGTCTGGCAGCCAGACAACAGAAAGAAAGAAAAATAAAATTCACCTCTGGCAGGGAAGTCTTAGAAGGTGATAGTGTCAAACTCTACGCGTGATCGTGCAGAAAAAGAGGAAAGTGCCAAACATAATGAAAACATCCTCTCTGTGCTGTGTTGAATTCTAGTGTTGATTGATTGTTTCTTGAATAAAGAGGAAAGTGCCAATCATATTGTTTCTTGAATTCTAGTGCCAAACTCCCACTTGAATTAGTTGCTTTTGTCATCCTGGTAATATATTATTTTAATAATTTTTTATAAATACTTTAAGGTCATGTTTGTTTGGGCGGACTGGATTAGTATTCCCATGACTAATAGTCCTAGGACTACCAATCCGTTGGATTATGTATCCTATCTTAACTAATAGTCAAGTTTAAAATAATTAATCCGTACTTCAATTGTTTAACCAAACATCGGATTAATAATTTTATTGGACTATTAGTCCAATCCCAAGCTCATGTCCACCCAAACAAACATGGCCTAAGAGTTTTTATCAGATTATTTAGTATAATTTTTATTTAATTTATTAAGTAAAAATAATTTAAATAAATTTAAAAAACTAATTTTTTAAAACTAGATAAGGAATGTTTGTGCTTTTGATTTTTAATTTTAAATTTTAATTTTTAACTTATAATAAATTGCACAAAATAAGACCAATGACGAGAACAAGGAAAAACTTGTTGGAAAAATGGTTTAATATAGGCTTATTTCGGCCCATCTTTGAGCCCAAAATTGAATGGGCTCCAAATGTCTTTTGGGATAGGTCCGAAAATGTGACATGTTCCTTCTCACGTGGCAAGTCACACGGTGAAGACGGTACGTCAAAAATATTTATGAGTGAATAGAAAGTTAACGTCGTTTTCGAGTTCGTGGATTTAAACATTTAAGTTTTAAATGTAGGTTTCCTTGTGAGGCTTGTCCCATATTGAAACTTTACAAGATTTTTGTTGAGTATATAAACTCTAGCGTACAACACTTGAGTTGGGCCCCAAAGGGCACCCAAAGTTTGTAAAAATGAGAAATTATGGACAAAGTGAACCTTAGCCCAAACCACCACACACGCGCGCTGCCGTCAGTCCGACCGTGCCAAGCGCAGGTGTGGGGTGTGGGTCGGGTTAGTTCTAATATTAATTTTTTAAACAAAAATTCTTTTGAATTTATTTCAAAATTATTGCGGGAATTTAATTCCAAATTTGAATTTGAAATTCAAAAACATTTTGTTCATAATATTGTGTCTCTTTCAGATAAATTCCAGAACTATTAAAACAATTCAAACAGGTCTTATCTGTTGAACCCGAACAGGTTTAATTTCGGACAGATTCAAACCGCTGGGCAGTTATCTGTCTAGAAAACTGCCAACAGATATGTAGTAGTTTAAAACCGAATCTGTTTGTTTTGGGTAGTGCACCTGTTCAGTTTGAATTCATACCTTTTAAGGTTTGAATTCATACATGTTTGGCCCTATAAATACATACCATATTTCAGCATTTTACCAATCTGAAAATCAATCAGAAAAATATTGTTCTTCCTGTCCAGATTTTATTTGTTTACATTATTCTTCATATTAGTTATTTAGAGAAATATTCAGAGAGTTATAGAACACAATGTTTTAGTTTGCCGTATAAATTTCTATGTAGTGCTGCTACAAATTTGTGAAGATCATTGTATTTTGGGAGATAGACGCCACTCAACCATAAGCACCATAGCGGGCGAATTTATCTTAAGGACAGAGTGTCACACACTCGACTTGGTCTTTTATTTTTCATTTGGTTCGACAAAATAAATTCTGTAAGTTTATTATTATTTTTTTGTTTGAATTAGTTTCAATTTATTTTATTTACACAGAAGATTGGTCCAACAAAACTTGCGCATAAGATTTTTGGTTTCAGTTTTCAAAATTCACTTTTCATAAAATTCTACTTTTTCATTTTTCGTATTTTTTGTTTTCACTAATTTTTTTAATATTTAGGCACACATAACATAAATACGATTAAAAAATATAATATTTGAAAAAAAAACTTTAAAAAATTCACTAAATACTAAAAATAAAAAAAATAAAAATTCAGTACATTTTTCACAGTTTTGTGTATTTATTAATTTTTTAAAATATTTTTTCACAAATATGTTACTATTTAGTTACATCTATGTAAGGTACGTCTAAAAAAAAAAATTACTTAAAATTTTTAAAATATTCACTAAAAATAAAAACAATAAAAACTAAATTTTCATAAAATTAAAACCAAAACACACTTATAATTCTTGGTTCACCGCAAGACAAAATTGCTCGAAAATCATGCACGTCACGCCACATCATTAAGCTCAATCATCATCAAGTTTTAAATATTATAAATCTACCCCTATAAATTGAAAAAAAAAATTATAAAAAAATATAAAAATATTAGGAAAAAATATATTTGGGTAGAATCTTATAAACACTAATTACATATATTTTTAATTAGAGCTCTTGAAGCTGGAATAAAAAAATAATTTAAATTATATTTCTAAATTAAAAAGTAAGTTAAATAGATTAAACTCACTTTTGGATATTACTTTTGGACAGTCTATAATATATTATAATCAGAGAATTACTAGTATTACAGAAAAAATATCCTTAGAAAAAGCAAGTATAGATTACCAACAAAAGTTTTTACAGGACTTAATATTAAATTAAATCCGCATCTTAAATTGGTATAAGAGTTTGGTTTCTTGGCTTACCAATAACATTTGCATAAATATTAAATATAGTGAAGAAGCAGAATCTGATAACTTAAATAATAGTACTTCTTTACAAATAATACTTTAATTAGGCTATTAAAAGAAGTTAGCGAAAGTCTTAGAAATAATCAATTATAAATATTAAATGAAATTAGACATTTAATACAAGACCCAGAAAAACAAGTAACTATTTTAGGCGAAAAATAAAAATATTTAGATTCGTATCCTTACTCGTATAAAGGAACAAATCTAGAAAAACCATTTAAATTAGTTTAATCTGATTAAAAAAAAAAAGAATGGAGTTGTACGAGGGGGAAATATTCTTAGCTCTCCATACTTTCTTGTGTCCAAGCTTCACTTCACTCCGAATAACCTGAGACCACAACGACGGTGAGCTACCCAGCGGGTGGTTGTCGAAAAACCCCTCTGACGGTCCAGTTATCACCCTTGTAGAGAGAGGAAATGAGAGACAACGAAAGAGAGATAAAGCCTTGTGTGTAAGAAAACTCCAGACCTGTTGTATGAGGCGCCACATTGTTTAGATAGCTTCTGCGCACGCCACTCTGTTCGTTCTTTTCTAGACGCGTGGTTGTACTACCTTCTATATTCCTTACATGTGTATGCGTCAATACTGCCAAACAAAAAACCGCTAAACGGTATTGACGCGCAACTTTAGTGGATTCCTCTCTTTACATTCCGATTGGGCCAAGTAGCAAATCCTGCTGAGTTACTTCCTGCATAGTGCTACAGTTCGTCCTTTGGAACCGTATTACTCTCGACCGGCCAAAATTTGAGGCATCTAGCCGACTTCTTCAGCCGTACCCATTCGTTCCCACTGACCTTGCTTGGCCTTGGTGTACAACAGGTGCGTCTAGTCTGGTCGGAAGCACCATCGCTTCACTTAACTCGGCTAATGATCCATACCGAACAACTAACCTAGTCTAACTGTCGGACCTTGGGCTAACTCAACCACGTGATCTAGAAGCTCGGCCAAACTACCCTTGGCTATGCTAACTCGGTCGCGTAATCCAACAAAGTCATAACTAGCTCGGCCCGTTTGTTTGGTGCAAACTCCACTCTTAATTGTCCCTTAATTCCGGTAATTCCGTCCGCACTTGCGTGACCAAAATTACATTACTAGGCCGGGCTAGACTTTGTGCTCGGTGGTTCACTTTGCTCAGTTGTTGGCCTTAAATCTCTTCTATTCTAACATGATTGGGATCAAAGAAAATCAGCTCGATTTAGGAACTTCTTCTTACCAGGTTAAGCCCTCGGCCCACTTAGTTCTTCTTTTCTTTTCTTTTTTCTTGAGTATCTCAGCCCACCCCTTAGCGTGTAGCTCAGTCTTTCATCTCGGCATGGCAAAAGCATCTTGGTCTTCAAATCATTTCTTCATTTGCTCAGTTGTAGTACATGGTCTTCATTTGAGGACATATTGGGTGGGGCCCACAACTTTTGACTTTCCAAAACCAAACCAATTTTGTAATGAAAATGCTTGGTGGGCCAAGCCTTGCATTATCATGGAATGAATTTCCTCACTTGGAAATCTTGCCCGTGCACTTATTCAACAACAAACATATTAATTAATATGTTAATGTTTAGTGGGCCACGCCTTGCTTGCCATGCATGGTAATGGCTTGCATGTATTCTTTGACTTTGCTTACTATGAACACGCATTATTCGAGCAAACTTACTGGTGGGTTAAGTAACTCCACAAATTGTATAATATGCTTTGAGCTAACATGTTTTTTAAAAAGAATAATCAATGGAAATTTTTGTTTGCTCGGTCCCACTTAGAAAATTAATTAGTGATGTTATCAGTGTTTGGTCAGCCAAATTCTGCTCCACCATTCTATTCGGTCTTGAAGAATAGCTTATTGACACTGCTCGGTTATGTTGATCATGCACCATCTTCTTGTTCGGACGTGATTAGCACCTCTATTTGTTAAGTTCGCTTCTTCATGCATTGGTCAGTCACTATTTTGAGTGCACTTTAGCTTGGTCTGAAGTGCTTTGGTTCTGCAATTGAAATTAGACCGTACTACACTATTCATACCAAGCTATGACTGCTCCCTGATTTCGACCAACCTACAGACTTTTCTTACTTTTATTGAGGACCGAGCTATAGAGCTCTCAAATCGGGCTGTCAGCCTCGAAACCAGGCTATGCCCACTCTGTTCTTTCAACTGAGCTAGAGATAACCCACTGGTTCTGAAATCCAAGCTCCAAAGCTCTTGCTCTAGTATCTGAGCTAAATTGAATTTTTTTTGCTAGCTCTTGGGCCTAGATTCTAGCCGGGTTGGAATAGAAACCATATCCCTACTCCATGACCGAGCTAAATATCTTAGGTGAATAGCCATAGTTTTAAGACCAAACTTTCTGTAAATCCCAACTGAATGAGCTTTTAGTTTCAATGTGAGCTACCCGTGCTAAGGATAATAATTTTTTAGCTCAAAACCCGAACTAGGTA